GAAAGAGAAGAATCCAGGATGACCGGGAGGATCGAAGCCTGAGCAAACGGAGGGACAGTGGTACCGTTTTCTGTGGTAGGAGAGCCCAGGAGAGGCCCCTGCATGTTTGGGGTGCTGAGGAAGAGAGTTCTTTGGGGGCTTATTAAGTTTGAGATGCCTGTTATAAATACACCCCACCCACTCCTGACCTCCCAGCTTGGGGCCAAGCCCTGTAGCCAAATGTCCATCCAACCACAGGGTGGTTCACAGTCCTACTCCAGGGACGCGAGAGAACCCACTGTGCAGCCTCCCCAGTGACCAAGGGACATTGGAACGCTCTTCACTCCGGCCTTAGCGTAACTCGGAGTGACCCTGGGAAGCCCCCTGAGCCACCACAAAGGACTCTGGTTCTCATAAAGGGGACACCGAAGCCCGTGTCCAGCACTGGTCTCGTTTGGGTGGATGTGCACACAGAAACCTACCCAAGAAAGACCTAGAGATGCATTTAATAAAAGGCAGCCACGCTCATGGCTGATAGAACAGAGGCTGCACAGGCCTCCCTGAGGCCACACCCCCCATCCTGGAGGGTGACCTGTCCAGACTCCCTTCAGCATCCTTCACTTCATCCCCGTCCCCGAGTGGGGCTGCCACGGCCACCCCACTGATGGATATAGGATCCATTCCTCAAATGCTGTTTCTTCCTAGAAAGAGGAAGCGCTACATGGTTTGGGGGTCCGCAGGGCTAAGAGAGAGGGAAGGGCTGCCCTTTGGTAAAGAGAGAAAAGGTCCCTTGGCGGGGAATGGGCAACCACCTGGAAGAAACGCATGCAGCTGGAGCTATTTCCAGCTATAATTAACTCACTTTTATCTGTCAAAATAGCATTAAGCACCAGTAATAAGCCCTTTAAACAAACAGGCTCTTCCTCCCGAGATCGTACCATCTCCCCTTGCAGGGGACGCTGCCAGGAAGGCGGGTGGGGCTGGTCTCTGCTCGTACCAAGGGGAGCGGTCGGGGGGATGGATTGAACGGGATTTCGTGAGCCTCGGCCCTCTCCCTCTCTGGAGCCACTGGTTCTTCTTATAGGGTCCAGGGTCTGGTAGGGCTTCGGAGTCGAAGCCAAATTCCTTTCGACAGGCTGACGCCATGAGCTCATCGAAGAGGAAGAAATTTAGTGTGGACAAACGCAAGGTTCTGTACTTAGGTGCTGAACAACCGAACGGAGAGCTGAGCAGTACCAGCTGTCAGCAGGTGTGCGGTCGCTCAAACGGACGTGCGATCTCAGATCACAGTGGTGGACGCATAACATCTTTGAGAGGCAGGGAGGTCAGCGATGGCCTTGTTTTACTCTCTCCGGTCAAATCCCACTGGGAAAAATCAGATTCGGGGTTATCAGGCTGGAGAGGGACCAGAGTGGCAGAGAAATTCAAAAGTTGGAAGGTCGAGGAAGGGAAGACGTGTCCGAGGAGCGTGAGAGCAAAATCTTCCTTGGTTCGGCGAATACTGACCGACTCCTAGAGGGATTCGGGGCTGCGCAAAACGTCTCCGAGGAGCGTGAGAGCAAAATCTTCCTTGGTTCGGCGAATACTGACCGACTCCTAGAGGGATTCGGGGCTGCGCAAAAATCCACAACACAAGGCGTCTGTCCCGGCGGGCCTCACGGATTTGGCCTGGGAGGCTCCGGGTACAGAACGAGGGCTGGGGGAAGATTGACAGGGAGTCAGGTGTAATCTGGACACCGGGCAGAACCTCCCAATAAGTGAAGATCGCCTGAAATGAGCTGGGTTGCCCCTTAGGACGTCAGCCTCCTTGGGGATGTCCAGGCAGCAGTGAATGCCCCTTGCTGGGCCGTGGAGCGGGAAATCCATCCATACCACACAGAATTGCTGTATCAGTTCGCTAGAGCTGCTGTGACAAGGTACCACAGGCTGGGTGGCCTAAACAACATATGACTTCAACGCGTGAACTTTGAGGGGACCCAATTCGACCCATAACATTTGGGCTAGCTGGCCGCCTTTCCTGCTCAGATCCTTTGATCCGATGCGCCTTGTGCTAGGAGAGCCTCTAGCCAGCACGTACCCTCAAGATTCTGGCCCGTCTGGGACAGAGCTCTGGCCCGAGCATTGCAGGGAGCTGGCAGGGTGGTGCGGAGTCGCCGAGCAGAAGGCCTGCCCTTCAGCTCTTGGCAGCCCCTGCCCCAGCCTGGGCAGCTCTTGCAGGGGACTTCTGGCCCTGCAGGCCTGCAGAGTGGCACAGTGCCCCGGCTGGCTGCTGGCAAGGGCGGTGAGCAGCCGAGGGGAGGAACACCCAGGCAATCGAGCATGGCTGTGAGGAGTGGGAAACGGTGGTCGGCAACTGGCAGTGGATGGCTCTGATTCAGTGACAACCACGGGGACCCACGAAGAGGACAGGGGGGCCCTCGAGCAGGAAAGGAGGCCCATTCATCCGCCCAGCCCACAGGCCTGGTGCAGAGGAGGCCTGTGAATCGGTGCTTAATTAGGCACCAGGAGGGCTGAGCCAAGGCCGCAGGATGGCACGGACCCAGTGGGCATCTCCTCCAGGGCTGGAGCAGATGATCAGCAAAGCAGGCCCTGTTGAGTATCGGTGGGGGGAGCACGTTTTAAGCACTACGCCTTGCTAAACTCGGGAAGTGATCCCCTATCGACAGGCACCAGCTCGTTCTTCTGCACCAGAGTTCATGGGCAGCAGAAACCATCGGGGAGGCGTCACAGGTGTTCCCATCCTTCGCAAGCGTGACCAGCGCTACAGTGAACGTCTCGTGCTGACACCTGCACGCACGTGCGTGTCTGATTTTCAGACGTGTCACTGCTAAAAGGAAAGACGGATATCTATGCATTGTTAATTTGTATAGATATTTCCAAGTTACACACTTGCCTATGAGTATTGAAAATGCCTGATTTCCCCTAACCTCACCAATGTGGGGTATTAGCAACAGGTGTTTATTTTTGCCAATCCAGGGGGAAGATGGCATCTGATCGTTGTTTGAAATTGGGTTCCTTTAATTATGAACGAGGTTGAGTATAATTTTTCTGGTGGGAGTGGCATTAGGTTGAATTCCAAAATCCAGCCAGAAGGTTCAAGCCCCCCAGAAATGTTCTTGCTGGATCTCTGCTGGACCTGGGTGAGCAGCAGTCTCTCGACAACCTGGGGGGCCAACTGGAGTGGAAGGAACCCCCGTCAAGGAACCTCCATCATGTTTTTTCCGTTTTTCATTTGGCAACAGGCTGTCTGCATGGCTGTTTGCCTGCCTCTCACATATGCAGACCCGGCAGCCGCCTCGAAAGGTTGAGAGTGAGGCCAGGCTCCTTCACCTCTCCTGCCAGTGCCCCCAGAGGGAGCCCCTAGCCTCTGCTCGCTCTTTTTCATTCATTGCTTCATTAAGTAAAGATTTGTGAAGCTGTGCCTCTTTGCGCACGTGCTCTGCTGGGATCTGAAGCTAGATAGAAGCCGATGCTCTTGCTCACAGGATTTTAAATTACGAGGGAGGAGAAAGACAAGGGAGCGAGTAATGACAGCGTAGCGTGATAAGTACTGTGACTGAGAAAGGACACTATACGGGGCACAGAACCCTCGGGGAAGTTCCGGGAAGGCTTCCTGCAGGAAGTGACTTTGGAGCTGAGGCCGTGGGAAGGAGCTGTCGGCCAGGAGACGTGGGAGGCGGTGATGTCCCGGGAGAAACCAAGACGTTCTTCCGTGTGTAACCCTCGTGTAACCGTAGTTACACTGAAACCAGAGTGTAGCTGTGCCTGCCCGGTCGTGGGAGGGATTTCAGGCCCGGACCTCGAGGGCTCCTCTGGCCCGCCCGAGGCCGTGAGATGTTGTTATCCCGTAGAGTCCGGGAGTCGTTTGGTGGCATGGTCAGACCCGAGATTAGAGCACTGGCTGGAGTAAGCATGGAAGCCTGGGGACCTGGGATCGGCCTCAGGCATCCGCAGGGCGACGCCCCCCCAGCTCTCCTTTCCCGCAGAGCGAGGCACCCTGGCCTGAGATGTCCCCAAAGTCCTGAACAGGGTCCCGAGGAAAGGACGGCAATGGGTTGTGGAGCCGCAGATCGGGGTCAAGGCTGCTGACGGGGATGATGGGAGACCAGGAGCCCGAGAGTTCCGTTGCTGGCTTTGTCGCTGATCTTGCACAGGGTCACCGAGCATCCCCTGACAGCCCCCCGTAAGGCAGTCCTGCTCCTTAAGACGAAATAAGCTGTACCGAACAAAAGGCTTTTCGCTCCTCGGAGAAAAGGCTCTGGGTCCCTTTCCCCAGCGTTGGCAGCCACCGTTCCTGCCACATACCGAGCCCAGGAATTCAGGCAGAGAAGGAAGGACCACTGTGCTTTCGAGATGATGTTGGCAATCCTCGTTTATTGCTGTCCGTTCTCATCAAACAGAGTGCTTAGTCGTCTTGGCAATTGGGGTAACCAATTTGAAAAATAATTACTGCCTTCTTTGAAATTACTTTGCCTTCTAATTACAATCTCGAGCCTGGGATACTAAAGGGACATGGGCGATACAGTGCCCCAGATGTACCCGGCTAACCTCGTTTGCGAAGGCAAAATTGGATAGTGTTTTAACACCCAGCTGTGATCCTAGGGGAAGAAACAGCCTGCAAGTCGGCCAGGCACACAGGCTCTAAATTGGCCGGCGCGACGGCCGAGGCATAAAGGCAATCGAGAGACTCGTTCCCGCGTGACTCAGCCAGCCTCCGTTGCAAGCGGCTCATTAAACGGTGCCCCCTGTTCCTGTCAGACGTCTCCCAGGAGCTCTTGTTTACCCGGGCAGGCGGACCAGGGAATAAGTGGGCTCCTCCATGCCGCCGGCTTCTCGCTTTATTCTGCAGCCTCGTCTGCTATTAACACCTTTCCCCGTGAGCGGTTCTGGGTGAAAAGCCTGGCGCCGGGTGCGAGAGGTGGGGCGTTTTCTATTTCTGCCCCGGCCGGCCACCGCCACCGAGCTGCCCGCCTGGCTTCCTCCCCTCTCCTTTGCTGCAGCTCCCAGTTTTCGATTCCCTCTGAGTCAAACGTTTGCGGAGAGCAGGAGAAGCCAGGGGAGTCAGTTCGGTGCTACGCTTCGACAGCAAGCCACGGCCCC